GCTCCACCTACTGAAAACCACTTGATATAGAATAGAATCATAGAATCATAGAATCATAGAATCATTTAGGTTGGAAAAGACCTTTAAGATCATCCAGTCCAACCATTAACCTACACTACCAAGTCCACACTAAACCAATCAAGGGTAGACTACACTAAACCATGTCCCAAAGTGCCACATCTACCCGTTTTTTGAACACTTCCAGGGATGGGGACTCCACCACCTCTCTGGGCAGCCTGTTCCAATGCTTGACTACCCTTTCCGTGAAGAAATTTTTCCTAATTTCCAACCTAAACCTCCCTTGGCGCAGTTTGAGCCCATTTCCTCTCGTCCTATCGCTAACTACGTGGGAGAAGAGACCAACACCCACCTCACTACAACCTCCTTTCAGGTAGTTGTAGAGAGCAATAAGGTCTCCCCTCAGCCTCCTCTTCTCTAGGCTAAACAATCCCAGTTCCCACAGCCACTCCTCAGAAAGCCTGTGCTCTAGAGCCTTCACCAGATATATCAGATTAAAAATCACATTTGTCTCCCTCTGCAGAGACTGTCAGCATTCACCACGGCCAAAGGGCATCGGCAGCATTGATAAACCTTGCTTGACCCTCAGCTGCTGTATGTTGCTCTGGGTAGGTGCTGTACTAGCGTAGACCAGGTAAAGCTCTGGTCTGGACCACCATTGCATCCAAACACTTACAGTCCTTAGGGTCCTTAGGGCTGGTTATTCATTCTGCTTGTACAGCGCAGTGAGACTCTGGTCTCCGACCGCAATACGGGCTCAGGCAAAAGGTCTTTAAGGTTGGGCATCTGGAGGGGAAATCCTTTTCTCTTGTTGTAGGGAAGAACCTCTCAATTGCATTTTCTAGAGACAGCAACCAGAACAAAGAAAAAAAAATCCTGCTGGTACATCAGAACTTTACAAGGGTTCAGACATGATCAAAGGAATTATTTTGCATGGGCAGATTTATTTAGACAGGTATATGATGTTCCACTTCACCCAAATCCCAAGCTCATCCATACCTTTCCTTGTTGGACTGTCCCTCTTCACACAGCACAGCAGCACACATTGACCCAAGGGACTCTGTGATTTTGTACCCTAAACAAGGATTTTTAAGCCTGCCCAAAGCAAATCATGGCTCAAGCTCTTAAGTAAAGATTTCAAAGACAGAACAGAACTGCTAAACCCTTTCCTATGAACTACCATGTTAAGAACTTTCATCGTCTGCAAACCTCAATTTTCCTACCTGCAAGAGAAGGATGACAGTCTCTTGACTCCCTGGATTGCTAGGATTAGACAATGTTTGTTCAACATTAATGTAGATTTTGGTGTTATTGCTACTGTCACATTATAGAAAGGTCAACGAACACATTCCAGTGAGTCAGAGCCTTTCCACAGTGTTAGCGTACTCCTCAGAGCTTAGCCAGGCTCTGTATTTGGATAAAGCCCACCACAATCCCACCCTTAAAAGATCCCAATGTACGTCAGAGTGGCAGCCCTTTCCTGTCACTGTCTCATCTCTATGTTTAGAATAAGGAGCACTTGGAAGATGATGCTGAAATTGAAGCAGGGAAAGAAAACAAACCCAAACCACACATAGAGGGAGTGTAGGGGGGAGGCGGGAAAGGTTAAAATAAACCAAACTCTCCTCAGAAAAACTCTGAGCATTAGAGAGCATCTAGCCAGAGTCAGGAGGCAGGGAGAGAAGATATGTGTTTAAGTAGAAATGAAACCGAACATGGGGAAAAATGAGTTCCCACTTCTTCTTCTCCAGTTAGAAACCTTCAGTGAGAACCTCTTGCCAGGCCAGCACCTCATGTAAAACAGCAGTCATGTTACCAAACCTCCTTCATAAAGCACTTGAAAATATTGAGGACCTTATACATTCTCCAACAAAAATACAGACTTTTTCTGGGAAAAGCATTGATTCATTGACCCTACAATTCTTACCTGGAAACCTCTTGCACTCCATGAACTCAAGGCAGGGCTGCAACACCAATTCCTAGCACCCTGTCCCCTGGCTGGAGACATTATGTTTCTTGGCTCTCCAGCCAACCGTGAGGTATGCTGCCTCGTGATCAGAAAGCCACGCTAACCAGCCATATCCCAAATTCTCTAGGCTCTCTGCCATGGAGTTGCGAGCCCAAAGTCCTGAGAATGCTGACTTTAAACCAACAATGTACAAATCAAACTGTGGGTGGGTGACAGAAAATTTCAATGCACGGAAAGCAGAGTAAGGCAAGGCAAAGCTTTTATCTCAGACTTTCTTCTCTCCTCATCATTGGTGTTAAGTACTCCATCTCTGCACCCCTTATTTATCCCTTTGCAACACACCCACCCCATCTCCACTACCTCCCCTATCACAATAGCTTTAGCACTCCGAATCACTCACTGCAAACACCTCCTATCCTCCAGCTTATACCACTGCTCCCCAAATCCGTACCTTCCCTCTTCCCGTAGTCCCCCCCGCCATGTCCTTATCCCTTCCACACCCTCACCTTCCCACCACACCACTTCCACCACTGATCAACATCACAAACCACAGATACCCCAAGCCAACTATTGCACACCAAACACTTTTTGAAAGTTCTCTGCTACAAATTTTCAGTACCCTCAGCTTGGGGCAGCTGATTCAAGATGACCCACTGCTCGCTGACCACCTCCCCCCCCATGCTGATTGGGAGGGCAGTGTGAATACAGGACAGGATGTCAATTCTGTGCCCAGGGCACAGGAGGGCATTGAGATGGAAGAACAACGTGCTCATCAGCACAACACAACAGGCAACAAGACATTGCACTGTTGACTGTGTGTTGCCGGGTCTGTGCTCCACTTGGAGCTTCCAGACAGCTGTTCAAGGAAATTGCCATCAATGTCAGCCTCACCACCACTATTAGACATCTCATCCATGTCCGGGCCCAGCTTGAACCCATTTAACTTGTAAGGGATAATGAGATAACAGCATGACATGTTGCAGCTGAAGGTTATTTAAACACCCATCTGGTACCTGTTATGCAGCATACATCCTATTGTTGTATAGGAAATATATGCCACCTCCCTCCCACATGGAAAGGAGATCTATAGATGTGTCCCATGCTACCCCTTCTTTTTGCATAGATAAGGTAATTCTCCTTCTCTGTGTTGTTTCTAGCATATCACTTTGCCTTTCCTGTCTGTGTTTTGGGAGATGCAGTCTTTTCCAAGCTGGTGAGACCTTGTGAAAGGACACAGGACCACAACAAAAAATTTACTAGGGACATCTAATTGCCCCCTTCACACATCAGTCAGAAGAGGCTCCACGCCATCCAGGTTTGAAAGGGTGGACCATAAACTGTGCAACTGATTAATTCTTTGCAAGACACAACTTGGCACTACACTTTATTCCAGAGACATTTGGGGTAACAGTCCATTCCAGTGTTCATGGGACCACACTCCATTTCTGCAGAGGAACGGTGAAATATCTGCTGAAGCCTGTGAGGTGAGCAACGCAAACTGCTTGCACCTTTAATTCAGAGGTACAGACAGGAAAATCTGCAGATCCCAGCTATACAGCCTCATTTATTTATTCAAACTCTCCATCTTCCTTTGTAGGATGACTTTGGCTGTTCTCGGTCCCCTGCTGAAATTGCCTACAAGGCTCTTGCTCTCTGTGAACCCTCAGCAGCCATGAAGGCAGGTTGTGTGTTATCCCAAGAAATCACGTTTCATAACACAAGTGGTCAGCTCTGCAGATGTATACTCCTCTCTCCTGTTTTTCTCAGGCACGACTCAGTTTTCTGCAAAAGTTGTTCTACCCTGTAAATCCTGGACTAAAACCTTTGTCTGACACCCCATCTAGTGTTCAGCACAGACAAATGCAGAGGACTGGAAAATTCCCAGCATTTTTTTCAGTGGTATTAAACCACCCTTGTAAAACTATCATTTGAGTCATCTCCAAGAGAGCTCTGACAGAGCCCAGACAACATGGAAACCTGCATATGCCACTGCCAATTCCTTCCTCTGGTCTCTATGCAGCCTACGGGTGTCCTAATGGAGAGATGGCAGCCAGAAAGCCGAGTAAGCCCTGCTCCTCAGGTGTTAGCTCCTTGGCAGCCAACCCTGGGGCTTTGAGGACACCCCTCTGCACATGAGTCATCTGGGCAAACTACCTTGGAATTACGAGCCAAGAGTCTAAGCTGTGCCCACCTCAAGACTTGACGGCAGCTGACAGGGAGGACTCTCGCAAACCAGGGAACAACGGGGCTTCCTGGGTGCTCAGCAGTCGGCAGCACAGGGCACTCATTTCAAGAGAGATGTCAAATCTTGAGCATGTATTCTAGCATGTATTCTGAATACTAAATTATGCTGCTCAGTGTTTTACCAATGAGATTTTAAAAATAAAATGAGAATTACTTAAAAGTGCTTTTCACATTTTTTTCATTTAGGAAAAAAAAAAGTTTGCTGAGAAAATGAAAGCTGTTTCAGTGTCTGTCCTTCCCCTTTGCAAACACACTTCTTTGGTGGTGGTGGTGGTGGAGGTCATGAAGTCATCAGGACAAAATATCTGCATTGAGAACTTGGTTTTCAAAAAGCAGCTTTCTGACATGTTCTATCCTGTGAGTTGCAGAGCTCCAGCCACTGCTACAGAAATCTTTGGGCTCTGCGATGCTAGGTGCACAACCCAGTCTGAACTAAGCCCAAAACAAGCATCTCTATGTTCTTGGTTAATCACCAGACCAATTAGCACCTTGGTTAAGATGCAGTGAGGTTCCAGTCCCGCTCCCCTCAGAGCTGGGATTGTTCTGATGAAACTCTCACTCCACCCATGCAGCAACACCCTGCTCACAACACTTTCAGTTCTCAGGGAGCAGTGTGATAAGTCTGTTAACTCATTAACACCTCCAGCTTACAGGAGACTTGGCTTCCATCCTCTTGAACAGCCTCAGGCCTCACGCTCCAGGAAGTTATTCTGCAAAGTCTGTTTTGCTTTCTTTGCCTGCTGAGCCAGGCTGACTTTCAGTTCCCACCATGAAGCTTCTGAATGCTGCTGTATTCTTTATTCTTGTGCCCACTTTGATGCCGGCTTTGGACCCTCTCAGCACTTCAATCTTCATGGGCGGTGCTGCTGTCGCTTGGCAGCTCCTCTGCCCTCACTCCTGGCTCAGGTGCAGTCTCTTGGAATGCTGCAATATGAAGGACTCACTGAATTTATCAGGTAAGGAAGTGGCAAGGGCACCCTGAGCCAAGTTGTCAGTGGGACCAGCTGACGGTCCTTCCCAGGGTGGTGAGGGCTTCCTTTTTAAGGCCAGCCACCTTTGGGGTGGTTGTAGAAAGATAAGAGTTACTGCCCACAGTGGCTCTAGAAGGCAAGGGCTGTACTAACCTAATACTGTTTATCCCACAAGTGATCATGTACCCTGCTTCTCATGGCAGTACTGAAGTATTTTCCTTGCTGGTGTCTTTGCTTATATTGGCAGAAACAGGTAAAATTCTGGAGGTGAATTCAAGGCTAATGAAATAATCCCAAGTCTTCAGATGGACACCCCAGTGGTATCCCACACCCCAGTCGGTGGTTGCCTGTAATACTTGTCAAATGAGTAACAAGTAGTGGTAGGTCTAGATTCAAAACATGCTGGTTCATTTCCCTGAGATAAGCAGGCTGTCAGTCCTCAATGAAAAAGGAAGAAAGGGTTGTTTCACGCTGCCTGTGGGGAACTAGTGCATGGTCTGAAAAAGAGCTTATGCAACCTTTTAACCATAAACTCTTGATTCTGCCACCTGGAAACCCCGCTTCCCTTTGTCACGGGATTACAAATATTGCTTCTTTTCAGAGCTGAGAAGCAGATTTCAAAGCAAATCCTCAACTGTTGGAGACCTGTGTGGCTCCAGGTATTTCAATATATCACTTCCTACTAGCTCTGGATTTGGCTGCTTACAAACAGTTACTGTTTTCTAGTACTTTAGCCACCGAAACACCAGTTGTGGTAATTTTTTAAGAGAACTTGATACAGCAACAGAAGCACATTTTTGAATCATAGAATTGTTTAGGTTGGAAAAGACCTTTAAGATCATCCAGTCCAACCATTAACCTAACATTACAAAGTCTACCACTAAACCAATTAAGGGGAGAGTAGCAATTTCATGTTTCCTGGCTTGGTGGCTGGATTAGTTTTAACGAAAGTAAAAAATAGGAATCATTAAGATTGGAAAGGATGTCTAAGATCATCAGTCCAACCATCAACCCAACACCCCCATGCCCACTAAACCATGTCCCAAAGTGCCATGTCTACCCATTTTTTGAACACTTCCAGGGATGGGGACTCCACCCCCTCTCTGGGCAGCCTGTTCCAATACTTCACCACTCTTTCTGTGAATAAATTTTTCCTAATATCAAATCTAAATCTCCCATGGTGCAGCTTGAGCCCATTTCCTCTCGTCCTATCGCTAACTACGTGGGAGAAGAGACCAACACCCACCTCACTACAACCTCCTTTCAGGCAGTTGTAGAAAGCGATAAGGTCTCCCCTCAGCCTCCTCTTCTCTAGGCTAAACAACCCCAGTTCCCTCAGCCGCTCCTCATAAGCCCTGTGCTCCAGACCCTTCACCAGCTTTGTTGCCCTTCTCTGCACACGCTCCAGCACCTCAATGTCCTTCTTGTACTGAGGGGCCCAAAACTGGACACAGTATTCCAGGTGCAGCCTCATCAGTGTCGAGTACAGGGGGACGATCACCTCCCTGCTCCTGCTGGCCACACTATTCCTGATACAAGCCAGGATGCTGTTGGCCTTCTTGGCCACCTGGGCACACTGCTGGCTCATGTTCAGCCGGCTGTCAACCAACACCCCCAGGTCCTTTTCAGCCAGGCAGCTTTCCAGCCACTCTTCCCCAAGCCTGTAGCATTGCATTGTTCTATAAATGCAAGGTATGCTAGATGCCACAAAAAGAGTTAAAGCAAATTTAGCATATGCAGTGAACAAGTCTCTGCAAATACCTGAGATCCCATCCCAGGACTTTATAGAAGACGGTAGCCACAATACCACTGGGACTCCTGCCTATCTCATACAAACTGCTTGTTTCCAATAAATGCCATCGAGACTCTGATTCATGAGTCTGCTCCTCAGCTGGATTCTCTGCTGATTCACAATCTTGTCATGGCCGGAGGGCAGCAAACTCTTGTTCTCCCTGATGGTCATTCAGCTGCAAGCTAAAAAAAAAAAAGGGAGGAGTAATATGGCATTTTCTGACTCTTCTCTCCCCTCATTTCTTCAGCTATGAAGATGGATTTGGAGCAAAAAGTCTTTGGCCAGCATCTTGCTATCCAGATAGTTCTGAAAGCTCTGAGCGCAAATTCGTACTTCAAACAGCCCAGGAAGCCCCTGGTGATGTCCTTCCATGGCTGGACTGGAACAGGAAAATCATTTGTCAGCAGTATCATTGCAGAGAACCTCTATCAGCTTAATATACCACGAAGGCGGTTTGTGCACCACTTCAGCACAATACTGCATTTCCCACACCTTTCACATGTCCATCTCTATAAGGTACTTCCAGCTTTATCTCACTTTCTTCAATTTATCTGCAATTGTGAGAGCAAATCCCAGGTAATTTTTCCTCTTCTCACAGGAGCAGCTGCAGAATTGGATTCGGGGCAATGTCAGTGCCTGTCCAAGGTCCCTTTTTATCTTCTCTGAAATGGATCAGATGCCGCATGGCCTGATAGACTCTATCATGCCATTCCTTGGCTACCGTGAAGAGATTGGTGGTGTTTATTATGGCAAGGCGATATTCCTCTTTCTGAAGTAAGGAAAGCCAAAGGCGAAAAGGGAATTACAGTCCCACAGAATCTGCAGAGAAAAAGGGAGTAACAATTGCTGATAGGTTTGTAGCTGACTGCAGCATGGCTGAGCAGCTCAAGGTCCCTTGCTGTCTGTCTTTACAGCATGTTGTCAATGAACATGTCCAGCCATCATGTCAGCCAGATCTGAGCTATTCAACACTATAAAGAGAAGTGAGCTGTCCCAGGGCTGAAAAGACTCCCGTTCCTCAAGTGAATGGGAAATGGACAAGTGTCTGTGGTGGCTTCCAAAAGTACTGGAGATGCTACTTCCACAGTGGTCAGTAAATATATTTTCTCCAGCTTTATAACACCACTGTTAGGCAGAAAGCTCTTTATCAATGATCTGGATGAGGGGATTGAGTGTGCTCTCAGCAAGTTTGCAGGTGACACCAAACTGGGTGGGAGTGTCTATCTGCTGGATGGTAGGACGGCCCTGCAGAGGGACCTGGACAGGCTGGACC